CTATTCTCCAATTGGAGTGAATGCAATCAGTTACGTACGTCAACGTGTCACAGTAAGTTGTTATTTTTGTTATATTGACATTGGTGGGGTGACTTGTCACCCCCGTTGCTTCTTACGATAGTTTAATTTTTTTGTGATACTGATATAAATGTTTGGTATTCTGAGGTGAAAATGGCTTGGATTTCGGATGAACAGTATCGAAACTATTTGCAAGTTTGTAACTTTGTATGTGGAGTCGATACTTTCATCAAAATTGTGTATACCTACGTATAGTTCGGCTAGCAATACCAGACGTAGGCCGCTTCGATAATTCTATGGTATGCTGGATCAGGCTGGTATCAATTTTGTGTTGCTTTATATTGACGATAAACATTAGAACACTCCTGTCAACATGTTCTGAAGAAGTTGTATAAATAAATTAGGTTTACAATTGGCGCAACCACACACGAGGGATCGTTTGAGTACAAATTTGCCGCGAGAATTAGGAGTCACTTTATGTGATATTCGAAATTAACCCAGGACCGTCCTGAAGGTAAGCCCCGTTCAAAGTTGCAGAAACAAGCAAGATGTGCACGGTGTCCAAGAAAACGGGCCAAAAATTTAAAACTTGGCAAAAAATACCTTCAGCCCGCTTGCTCTGAACATCGCGAAGATATTTGCCTGATCTGTATTTAATGCAAAAAAAAAATGATAATACGATTTTATCGGTGCTGTAGTAAACACTATTTTCATATTCCTAATTATATTAGCGATTGATCTCATAATAAATAACTGTGGTTCTCTCAAATTTTGCAGATTAATTTGAATTTAAAAAATATGGGGTGATACGTCACCCCTGTTCCCATTTGTGTATGCAAAAAAAGTGTTGCCTGCCGAAGGTTAAACTTGTAAATATGGTTCGTAGACGTACATTTACTGTTAAAGAAAAAGTGGACATCATTTCGAGACTGCAAAATGGAGAAAACAATGTTGATCTGTGTAAACAATTTGGAGTTTCATATTCTACAATATCAACGATGTGGAAAAACTGCGCTAAAATTATGGAGTGTTTTGAATCAAAATCCCTGAAAATAAAGAAAAATCGTAATCCAACTCATCAAGATATTGAAATGCTCTCCTAGTGTGGTTTAAAGCTCAGAGAAGCCAAAATGTATCCATAAGCGGTCCTCTTTTGCCAGAGAAAGCTAATCACTTTGCCAGACAGCTTGGGAAAACAAACTTTGTATGTTCAGAAAGCTGGATTTACGAGGGCGGCACTGAAGTTTTCGGGAATCAAGAAAGTGACACAACATTACTATTTGAAAATGTATTTATTACTTTTCGAAGTATTCTCCGCGAATTTTGACACATTTTTCCATACGATGGAACCAATCATTGAAGCAACCATTCCATTCGGAAGTTGGGGTCTCCAAAATGGCCGTTTTGTAGGCGTCCACAGCTTATTCAGGTGATGAAAATCTCTGTCTGTGAAAGTATAGAAATCATTAGGGCTTAGGTCGGGGCTGTACGGCGAATCGTCTAATAATTCTATGTTTTCTTGCTCTAAAAACTCTTTTGTTCTGTGTGCGGTGTGAGAACTCGCATTGTCGTGATGGAGGATGATGCGGCGGTTGTGTCTTTACGGAGTTCAGAAACGACCTGTGGCAAACAAATGCTAGCATACCGTTCTGCATTAACCGTTCTTTGTCCCTCAAGAGGAATAGTCATAACATGGCCGGTTTTGGAGACAAACGTGGCCACCATTTTTTTGGAAACACTCCATGAACGAACAATTTTTGTTGGCTTTAACTCATTTTCGAACACACAAATTCGTGACTGGTTTTATGTTTCGGGTTCGTACGCGTATATCCAGGATTTGTCACCTGATACGATGTGTATACAGCATTTGAGGATCCTGCGTGGAATCTTTCGAGTTCTTTTCGAGCACAAGTAACGCGAGCCGCTTTTTGCTCTTCACAGAGCGAATGCGGTATCCAACGGGAAAACAACTTTTTTACACCTAATTGTTCATGCTAGATTACTTGAATTTGACTCATGCCAATATCTAAAGTTGCCTGAATTTCGCGGTATGTCACATGTCGATCTTACTCAATCAGCTTACGCACAGCATCAGCGTTTTCTTGGGTGACTGCAGTTTTTGGACGACCTTGACGGGGATCATATGAGCTTGACACGTCCACGTTGAAATTCGGCAAACCAGCGATAAATTGTGGTTTTGGATGGGGCTTCATCACCAAATGCAGAAATCATCCGATCAACACACTGTTTTAGTGTTAAACCACTTCGAAAGTCATAATAAATCATCGCTCTTGAATTTTCTTGAGCCAATTCCATTTTCTCAACGACAAAACAAGTTTGACAAAACCTTGTGACAAGACCGAGAATCTTTTTTTAAGTAAATAAATGGTATTCGATTTTTAAAACCAAGGAGTTTTCAATTAAAAAGATTTTAATATGACAGGAACAGTGGAAATATTCCATTCCCGATACTTTTAGTGCAGCCCTCGTACAGATTTAGACAACGTCATAATATAGTGGTCGGTAAAGTTTGTGGAGAAGCCGCCAGCGTATCGCAAAATGACTGTGACAATTGGTTGAGAACAGTTTAACCAAAATTAACTGAAGGGTATACCGACAGTCAAATATGGAACGCTGATAAGACGGGATTATTTTTTAAATTGACTCCAGATTGAACACTAAAATTCAAAGGAGAAAAGTGTGCTGGCGACAAACTATCAAAAGATAGAATAACCGTGTTGCTTCAAGTATGGCAGGCGAAAAACGAAAATTGGCGTGGCTGGGAAGGCGAAAAAACCAAGGTGTTTCAAGAATGTAAAAACTTTGCCAGTTGATTACGAGCCCAACAAAAAAGCGTGGATGACATCGGAGATTTTTGAAAAAGTTTTACGGAAATGGGACTCTCAGCTATGAGGAAACAAAAAGAAGATCATTTTATTTATTGACAATTGTCCAGCTCACCCACAAATTTAAAATTTGACTAACATCAAACTGGCATTCTTACCGCCAAACACCACATCAGTTATTCAGCCTATTTATCAAGGTATAATTAAGACTCTTAAAAGCCATTATCGAAAGCTAGTGGAGAAAATGGTAAACGACATTGAAAAAAGTACTACCCCATTTGCCATCAATTTTCTGGATGCCATTGAAATGATAACAACAGCATGGGCACAAGTTACTCCAGATACAATTAAAAAATGTTTTTCACATGCTGGGTTTGGTAAATTTTGGAATTTAAATACAACTGATGACGATTCTGATGATAAATCGGACAATTTGCCATTGGCGAGATTATCATCAGTGGAGTAACAGTTACGGATTAGGAAACTTATGTGAATTTTTACGATCAAGTTATCGATAACTTGACTGATAATGAAATTATTGAGTCTGTGCTTCAAACACAAGAAAAGGAGGATGAAGAAGAGGAAGAAGATTGCAATCTAAATGAGATTCCAACAACTAGAGATGCATTATGTGCTATAACAACGCTCAAAATGTAGTGTTTATTTGGTGAAGGCCAAAATAATTTAGATGTTGAAGGAATTATGAAAATGGAATACACCTTACAACGTGCACAAAAAACTAAACTTAAACAGTGCACTATAACACGTTTTTTCAATTACACCCGTGTATAACATAATTGAATAAATGATAAGTAAATATGTACATGACTTTTAAGCTATTGCATAGCTTCTATCGCGGGCCTTGAGCGCGGGGACCGAATCCAGAAATTCCGTAACGAAAAAAAACCTCACGCTCCCCACTCCGACGGGCCCGGAGGTGTGGCGTTGAAAGCCGTGCATCGTCTAACGTCGTTTCAGTTCGGCAGACTTCGGCACTCGGCAGACTTCGGCACTCGGCAGACTTCGGCACGGTGTTTGTGTGCGTGCGACTAGACGTATGCGTGTACACTAGCTGCTAACTCAATGATAAAGATTCCTGAATAACCTACATGTATTGTAAGATATTAAAAATATTTTAAACAATATTAATTTCTCATTTATTCAATAAGAGAAAAAAAATTGTTTTCTTATCGGTCACCACGCTCAAAAAGTGTAACTTGATTTAATATCAAAGACTTAACTGCATAAATAAAATTTAATTATAATTGCATAAGTTGATAAAAAATGCTATGCAATAGCTTTACCGCGGCAGTCACCGAGTGCCACACGTTTTTTTTTATTATTTCGGATATAGAGACCTCCGGATATAGCGACGACATTAAAGTGGTTCGCGTCGTGTGCGTGCGTATGCGGATGCGCTGTGCGTTTGTCTTTTTGTCTTGTCTGGGTGCGTGCGTGTGTGTGTGTGTGTGTGTGTGTGTGTGTGTGTGTGTGTGTGTGTGTGTGTGTGTGTGTGTGTGTGTGTGTGTGCGTGTGCGTGTGCGTGTGCGTGTGCGTGTGAGTGTGCGCGTGCGCGTGCGCGTGCGTGTGCGTTGTGTGTAAGTATTGTGTGTCGTTTGTGTGTGCATGTGTGTGCGTGTGTGGGTGTCTTGTTTTTTAATAAATAAAATATGGTGCGCTATGATAAATATAACACATAAATAATTTTAAATTAGTGCACTGTATTTGTTTTAGTATAATAGTAGTACTACAAAATAGTAGACAAAAGTATATTCCGCACTTCTCCAAGAAGCTATTAAACAAAACATTCAAATAATCTGTAATTCATTTTCTTTCAGTTTACCTTTCAAAACTTCTTCCAATATTTTTTTTTATTTTTTTCTACGAAACCTAATTTAACAATTATAATTGTGGACTCATTTGGCGGAGTCTGTGAAATGTTAGAATAGTTTCGATAATGTGTATGTAGTATATATTTTTTAATAATTATTTATAACATTATGATAAATTGTTTCCTTTTTTATTTTCATATTTTGTTTGACGCTTGAACTGTACAATGCTTGTCACTTGATATACATTGAGTAATGTAAGTATTTCCTGTATTCGTAGTCATTGTAATCTTATTTTGTACAACAGTGTGAGCAGTATAGCTAGTACGAGTAAGGACCCAAATGCTTCTTTGGGTCCCATGCCACCGGCGGCGATTAGGAACAAAAAGCGTGCTGCCGTGGCCACGTCCGTTGTCGCCATGGCTAATACACCGCCACCGTCGGCTATCCGTGAGTATTTGTAGTGTGTAGCTTGCAACTAAAATTCAAGTAGTCTTATGAAGGACAAACTCTTCATCTTTTGTTTAAAAAAACTTCTATATAAAACTTAAAAAGAAAATGTATACAATACGAAAGAGATGTACATGTTCGAACAGGAAAAAATCGTTCACAATGTTCACTAATTGCCCAGTACAATATTCCTATCTATTATCTATGTAACCAAACAGTTTGATTATTTCTCTTTTTTACGATTTAATATGCCTTGGAATATTTATAAGCATGATGTAGAGCGCGTGTAAGCAAGTCTTACTGTAACACTCAGAACTGTAAACACGCGTTAGGACAGTCTCGAAATGTCTAGGACGACTTGTTGTTCTAGTGATGGTAGTAGTGCGACTTCTGATCATGAGGTCCTGGGTACGAATCCTGGGTCGGGCCAAAAAATCAATTACTGAGTTTTCCGTCAAGAAATTCTCATTTAGCTGTACGGAGTCAAGAAGTTGGTGGTGTCTCAGCCCTGTACCAATTGGAAAGCACGTAAAGCCGTTGGTGCTGCGCCTGATATCTCTCCGGTCAGGTCGGTTTACCGTCCCATCGGATTATGAGAGTGAGGGAATAGAGAGGTGCTCCTGTGCTTGCGCATACACTTGGGCACTATAATCCTGTCCTGTATGGCTATTCTCCGTTTAAGCAGGCCGCCGTAACCGAAATTCCGTCGGGAGAACATTATTATTATTAATATTAGTCACGAAAGATCATGCGCGTTAATTATTTCTCGACAATATTTAATAGAAATTCGCCATTGTCCTTTGCAGTGCCAAGCTGCAAAAACGATTCACGGAAGCAAAATAAAAACGTGGTGGAGCCATGCTGCAGTTATATTAGTAGTATAGTAGTAGCACGAATTGGTCGGCTCGACCGGGGAGTGACCATGCTCTCACGGAATACCAGCGTAAAATAGTAGCTTAAGGCTATTGTGTATCGTATGGTGAGTGTAGAGAACCGGAGACCCTTTTTACTGGAATCGATATTTCGATAAGATAATACTGCTTCTAACAACATTACTTAGGGCGTCAAAGGGTGTAACGGGAGACGCGTGTCGGAGGCGACACAGCACATGCCCCGCGCCTCGCGCATCGCGTTTTCCCGTATCAGAGCTAGTGCTGTGCCACAGTGTAGTCGAATATTTTTTTAATAATATGATTTCTGTCGTAATAGTTATACCTAATAATATTAGAAGTAAAGATCCTTTGTATTCATCACCCAGATGGATCGTAAAATAAAACGGTTTACACACAACACAAATATATTGATATTAGGAATATAAAAAAAAAATATTTCAAAAACTGCGTAAATGCTAACAAAAAGATAGCTATATAATAAATTAATTAACCTTTTTAAGAGGCAGTAACTTAATTAGATTTTTGTGTTTATTAAATATCATCATTTTGTAAATTCATTCCTTTTTTTATTGATTTGCCATAACTTACCATATATTTACTTACTGAAAAAACTTCCAGACAATAATCGTGTCGGTGATCGGCGACGATATTTGAAATAATGGTTTTGGGCATAAGTATATTTACTATTAAAGATAGAACAATTTGAGTAATAGGTCTTTATCTAAGAAATTGCCGTTCTGCAGTACTGGCCATTTCAAGTCAAAATATTTTTTTAACAAAAAATTCTAATTTAAAATTCATTTTATTTTAAAAACATGGATTTTTTTATTAGTCATATGTTTATTGATTACCGTTATGTTTTAATCGCATTTGAAACTTCGTCATCATGGATACGTTAAAAATTCGAGTAATTATGGAATACGAGGGCGACACTGAAAGTTTTTAGAATTGGCCAATTGGTAAACGATATATATAATAAAAATACAAATTACTAAAAGAGATAGCGTTTTTTTAATGGTAAATTATATATTCATAGAGCCTACATCGACTCAAAACTTGTCAAATGTGCGTCGTCCGCCACAACCGACCCCGCCTCCGATATACCAAGAAATTAAAGATTCACCTCCTAGTTCTCCTAGTAAGTATTAAAACTTAAAACTACTGTATTCTATGTAGATTCCACCGCGTGATCACTACGCTCATCTGTTTTTAAATCCCCTCTTGGCAGTAAGTAACTATTTGACAGATCCCGATAAAATTCGCGCAATTCAAGATTTTCCAGCACCCAAAAAGATTAAGCAATTGATGGCCTTTTTAGGGCTTTGCAATTTTTATAGAAAGTTCATTCCAAATTATAGTGCGTGCATAATATCTCTTACACTTACACCGTATTACCGACTTACAACGTATTTCAGACTACTTACAGCGCTTTGGTATAACGGTAAATCCCAGTAAATGCCAGGCTATCATCGTAGGTAGTCGTCGATTGGTGTCACACCTTAACATACATCATGTACCATCCATTCGCTACGAAAACTGTGTAATTCCTTTCCGCACTACTGTCAAATATCTAAGTTTAATTATTGACCCGACCATCAGTTGGAGTTTACAGGTTTCAGAGACGTCGTAAAGTCACAGGCGTACTTCGTTCCATCTATCGTCTTCAGTTCTTTCTGCCCCCTTCAACTAAGCTTCTACCCATCCAATCTCTAATTCTTCCATTATTTTTGTTTGTCACAATAATATCTCTCAGGAGCTGCTAAACAAGTTGGACAAATTACTTAACAACTGCATACGATTCACCTTTGGCCTGTGCATATGATCACGTATCAGAATTTCGCTCCCAGTTAAAATGTTTAACTATACGCCAGCGCAGAGATTCTTCCTTGCCACTTTATCTATAAGAAAGATTCCAATTCCGTAGTGACTCATTCTCTCAATCTCCGATCTTCACACAGTTTATATGTTTATAGTTATTTGTATATACATTTATTGATATATATATATATATATATATATATATATATATATATATATTGTATAAATGTGTGTATTTATTTATATGTATTATTACTTATATGTGTGTATGTGTAGCATGTACATATTTGAACTGAATGTGATCATGACGATCATGACAACTTTACTGCCTATAATTCACTTTGTTTATACTCAATAGTACTACTGCTAGTAGAGAATACCATATAGCATTAAGCTCGCCTTTTTACAAAACTTTGATGCAATAAAAAATCCGTCTAATATCGCCTTTAAGAATTGTTTATAAAAATTGTATTTTTATTGTAAAACACATGGGCTCAGTGATCACGCCGTGGGATCTCAAAACATCTTCTTCTCTTTTCTGTGTATTGAATTAAAACGTACATTTAAGAATAGTACATTATGATACAAGTGACTTAAGTAGCCGATTATTGAACCATGTGAAGTTAGTGAAGGAGCGAAGCGATTTAGCGTACGAGAGAAGCATTAAGACCCGTGGTAGCTCAGCTGTAAATTGTAAACTGTAAACAGTACGCGAGCAACCCGGGTTCGTGATATATTGTTAATTGCAATTTTAAGTTTGTAATTTCAAGTCTTCTAATAGATGTTACTAATTAAAGTTCTATTGTTCTGTGTTTATTATTATGTTTAAATAAATTTTAAAATTATAAAACGTTATAAATTTTATGCATGGCTTAAGTAAAACATACCATACAATAATCAGCTAGTTAAGTCTCGCATGAGCGTGACTTAAACGTGGTTTTAAGTCACCGTTGCCGTACTATAAAGTAAATAAAATGGATACTTATACATAATATGAAAATATTGTTCCCACTATTTAGTTATGTGTAACATAATATTTCCCTGTTCCTAATATACATATTAGTCAATATTGATTACAAAGTATGAAGAAACTTGTTTGAATAAAATTATGAATATTTTTATAAACTTGGAATACTTCAAAATATATTTTTTATATCTTGAAGTATTATAATTGAAAGTGTAATAAAATGTAATTGGTTAAGATAGTAAAATATATTATTTAATCGATTATGAAATTTAATAAAGTTTAGTTGGATGAAAAAAGTTATCCAGATCTCAAAATTTAGATTATTATAATTATCTGTACCAAGTATCTTTAAACTTGGTAACGCAGAATAGAATAGAATAATTTTTATTCAATATTGATTACATGTAATTCTTATTGAAAGTAATTCTTTAATTTACCACTGGTTCGGAAATAAACCTCTTTCCTGGGAAGAACCAGCAAGAAAGACTTTTGTTAAAGCATAAGTTACAATACAATATAATATTTATAAAATTGTTAAGACATTTAGAAACAGTAGGGTAGCGACCACCTCATTCCCAGGGGTTATTATCAACCATTTACTCTTTAGTAGATTAATAACCCTTACTAAATATTTTTTATTAATAAATATTTTAAACCTTTTGATAGTTAAGGTCTATACATTTTCTAGGACTTTGTTGTAGAAGCGTATACATTGCCCCATAAAAGAATTACTGACTTTTTGGAGTCGAGTAATTAACTATATGTTATAAGTAACTTGTGCTTGTTCATCCTAGTATTTACAGAATGTACATTTTACGATTGGTTTTCGGGTACATACATAAAATTTTCGTAAATACACTGAGTGGCCGTAGTTAATATATTTATTTATTTATTCGGACCTAGTTTAAGAGAAATTGCTCTTATGGCTCCCTTTTGCTAAACAATGTAGTTCCAATGTCAGTCGCAATATCACGATTCCGTATGCTATTCGGTCAAAACTTAGCAACTATAATTTTATTCAGGATGTCACTAAAAGATGCTCCAAGCATGCAGCAATTTCTAACTTTAGTTCATATCATCGCTATACACAATTATATTATACTAGTTAATATTTGAATTATATTTTATTTTAATCTTCTCTGCTATGGCACCGTCATATAGTTTTGGTGGTGATATAATATTATCAGCATACATCGTCTCTGAAGAAACTGGTATTGAACACTGACTTTAATGTTTCACTAAGAAGTCAAAACAATTTTCATTATATTTACATGTTATCCACAGATAAATCGGAAACTCATCATTTTGTACAATAGTTTGTGTAGTGTGGTTATGCACTTATTCTTTAGGATTATGAATATAAAAACGTGCGTCCTTTATTTACAGGTTCCGAAAGACCGTTGAAGCCTAAAATGGAGCATAAGTAAGTGTTAAGTTCTAAAATACTAATAAAATTACTAACACTTTTTTTACATTGTCATGTTGCTTTAGCCCATATAAATAAGTCAATATATGTTAAAAAGGAAATAAAGATAAATAAAGTGTTAGTGGTACCAGAAAGTGAAGTTAGAGCCTATATACATTCCTCTCCCGGGCACAGTGCATACACCAATTAACAGCCAGTGCGTATACCCTGAGCTACCACTATAAAATCTATTAGAAAGTACACACATACAAGATAAAGAAAGCTTGATAGTGTCTAAATTCTTTATGTAATTCCCAAACATGTTGGTAGATGATAAAGGTTCCTATGATATGATGATTGATTTGGTATGTTGATTATAAGAAACGACTGCTTGATATGAATGCCTGTAATGCACTGATCGATGACAATTATCGCATTAAAAGTTTTAAGTTAACAAAATCAAATACGGTTAGGTTATTGTGAAATATGTATGTTTCATCGTACATTCTCTATCAGTATTCAGATTTGTTTTAATAATAATTTTTGTAACATTTCATCATCATCGTCGTCATTATTACAGAAGCCTTTCACAAGTCCACTGCTGAACATATGCCTTCCCAAAAGAATGACACAAAGTACCGACGTAAGCCACCTGCATACTTTGCATATACATTGTAATTAAATTTGGCACGAATATTCGACTATTGTTTGATATTCGGTTTATTCGACTACTGTTGTTCTATTCGGTCGAATGCCGAATATTTAAGTAAGAAGTTATATTGTAATTAAATAATGGCTAAAATGAAATTATTATAAAATAAATAATCAAATTTTATTATAAAAGTAAAACAAAAAACTTCAGGTCTATGTACTAGGTTCAGGTTCAGGTCTATGCACTCATATCTCTATCAATCATATTCAATTATCGTAATTAAATTTTTGAAGTGGATGATTATGATGTGGGAAGACTAATTTCTCTGCATTTTCGGACAATAGTTTACTCCTTTTCTTCGTGTAGATCTGAAATTACCTTAAAAAAAGTTCTGAATAAATACTACTTCCTTTTAGACCGAATACGTTTGCCTTATATACGACTATTCTGCCTAGGAGTCAGCGTATGCGGATGCGAGTACCGAAATTTTTTTTTATTATATATATATATATATATATATACGGTATTCGGCGTGTGGCTAAATATACTATTGGTTGCAAGCGTAATTGTACTAGTTAAAATGGTCCAATATGAGGTGAAGTTTTGATGATCGCAGCCGCATTGGGGTGAGCTGCACGGCGCCGCACATGCTCGGCAACGAGCTGAACCCGGAGAGTGGCGCCGCGGCGCGGCTGCAGGAACAGCTGAGCGCCGAGCTCGCCGCGCACGCCGCGGGTGGCGCCGGCACCGACCCACTGGTGCCGCCGCCGCTCATCAACAAGGCCGCGTCCGTCAGTACACACTACACACTATATCCTTTGTGCTTATGCTCTCCTACTCACTGAGGTTAATAAAGGACACATCCTTCAACCTTTGTGCTTATGCTCTTCTACTCACTGCGGTTAATAAAGGACACATCCTTCAATAAGCAAGCGCAGTGATCGCAAATATGCTCACTTGGTCAGGGTATTTTGCATCAACTATCTTTAATCATTTTTTTATATAGAAGAGGGGGAAAATTAATTGTAGGCTACACCCGTGAGTACAAAGTATATTGCTTGCTGTTATGCTCTCCTGGTTACTGTACTGTTTCAACGACTACTTGATAAAGGCCGCATCTTTCCAATAAGCAATTACAATGCCCGCTCTATGGTCATACTCGCCTCGTCAGTTACAGGTACTTCGCATCCTGTCTTAAACACATTTGTCACCTATACCCCTCTTTTTACGAGCAAGCGAGGTTAGAATGGCTAACTGGTGTTGATTTAATTAGACTTTTAAAACTAGAAGTATTCAGTAACCCACATATATAATTTGTTTTATTAAATGTATATCCAACTAGAGTTAAGTGACACTTAATTAAATAAATTGTTTGTTATTTCTTTTATCGAATTGAGTAATGATAACAATTTTAACACAACTTAATGGTTCAGTAAATTGCGTCGGGTGCAACGCTAATGGCAATTAAGATAAGCCGTATCAGAGACATGTGACCCATGCCACACCAAAAACCGCAAAATATTTGAGTACTTGCCCAAATATTGATCCCGAATAAGTTTCAATTCTGCGATGCGGTAGTTATCTATGCTGATCACTGAGCTACGCGGTCGTCCTTAACAGTAAGATAATTACAGAGTGCAAGCGGCAGTAGCGGACGCGGTGGGAGTACTTCGAGCGCTCAGAGCCTCGATCAGCTGTTGGAAAGGCAGTGGGAGCAGGGCTCCCAGTTCCTTATGGAACAGGCGCAACACTTTGATAGTAAGTCATATTCCCAGACAAATACTTCAGTTGATTTTTTTATCATATACTATATCTCAGAGTCAACTACAACTAATTTATTTCATTGTTCAATGTCGATTAAGAATAGTTTCATAATATAAATTTCTTATAAACTTGATTCATTGATAGTGAAAGTCCGTTTATTTCATTAAATAATCTATTCCGATCTTAAATTGTTTAGAGAATATTATTTGTATTTACTCATTTCTACTATAACCTTTTTTTAATTCTAATAAATATAGTAAATACTATTACCTTAACAGTTGCGTCATTGCTATCCTGTCTGCACCAACTGCGAACAGAGAACGTACGTCTCGAAGAGCACGTTGGCAGTCTGTTGCAAAGGCGGGACCACTTGTTAGCAGTAAACGCAAGACTCGCGATACCTCTCACAACTGGTAGGTGTATGTTATATGCATCGAATAAACTGAGATAATTAAACCCAATCCTTTTCAACAATTAGTAATTGTATCGGACTAGATATTCCTTGATGCCTGCAACCAAATTCAAAGAAAAAGTCTACAGACGCTTTAACGTCCGTAAGGACACAAATAGTACACCATAGTGGCCTTATTTGGTACGGTAACCGGTGTTGTCTGGAGCACATGTACAAGCGGTTACGTCGTATTATTATCGCAGTCATCTGATTGAATCTGCTATTTGAATGAATGACTAGCACGTTCATAGAATGACATTTAATTAAATGATTAAAGGACAACTCGTCAACTCGTTGAATGTAACGTTCAACCTCTTGACTGAATGATATTCAACCGCTGCGTTCTAATACAATATTGCAACTATACTGTAATATAAGCGACAGTAGGTTAGGGTGCGGCTGGGCTACCCCAAAGATATATAAATATATAATTTGAATCACCCGACTAATTTTACGTCCGCTCTGTTGGCTATGTTACAATCCGCTAACTAGTCGGACGTTGAGTGACGCCTGTTCAATCAACGTTCGACCTAGTCATCCAAATAAAGGTCGTCCATTCATTGAACGCGCTAGTCATTCAATCAAATAGCAGATTGAATCAGATGACTGCGACATTATCACTACTAGAAACTCCAATTCGCTCATTAGTCTTACAAATTTCAACAAATAAATGTTACAAACGCTTTTTAATATTACATAAAATCAGGTTGTATTCCAAGGCTTAACAACGGATTCACAACGAATATTTGCAGACCGTCTCTTTCTGGAAAGAAAGATAAAGAATAATTGTGTTGACACACTGAGCGCATTCGCACATTTTATACTTTTGATTGATGGTTACGATCATGAAAAAAAAATCGTTTAAATTTTACTACATATTTATTTGTAATTAGTGTGCAAACTAATTGCAAATCCAATGGTGATAAGTATTCGGTAAAAGTTTTACCGAACTTTCTTATTCGTTGAAATCCATATTCGCTCTATTTCTAATTATTATTGATGTTTTCTATTACTTTTACACATAATATTTCCACGAATGTTATTGATATGCATATTACATGATATGTATTTTATTGTCAGAGAGTGAGACTATTACGTAAATTTAAATTATCAATATTCTCATGGTTAAAACTTAACTCAATCCAAATAAATGATCTGAAAAAATTCGAGTCAATATAGTAATAATCCCTGATAACGGACAATAAATTCAAAAAGTTAAAGACACCACAATATTGTCATAAGTTTTTCTTGTTCTATTGTAGGAAACCTGTGGTAGGATGATTTGATGCTTTTTTTTGCACATTACACTTTATTTCCATTGTGATCACTCATCGTCCAATAATTAAATAATAATGGATTAGTTTATAATCAATATCTCACACAGAGTCAACATCTCGCAAAAAATGTTTACATACATAATCGCGAGGAAATTCTCACAAACGAAATCGAAAAGTATTCTGAACAGACAATAACTGTGATTAAGCAAAAAACAATAGTAAATATTTAAATCTAAAACTATGAAATAATTTGTGATAATTTTTTCAACATGAAAGAAGTTGACAAACAAATGTCATTTATTTTTCTTCTTTTAATTAATGTTTTATCTTGATAAAATTCTGCTATTACATAATTTAATTTTAATTATTTAATAGGTCAATTAATTGTGGTAACTTCAGAGTTATGTATATGTGCAAACAAAAAAAATATAGCACAGAATTAACATTTTCAGTTTCTTCCGATATGATAATTATGTATATTTGTATCTTATGCTTAAAATGACAATATTAAACAACATGGATGTATTAACACTTCCCAACCAAGCTCACTCAATTTTTGCTCAGTGGCCAAAATGTGTGTGGTCTGGCGTTATCATGATGAAAGACTTATACTCCTTTTCTGTTGATCAATTCTGGCCGTTTTTTCTCCATTTCTTCCTTGAGTCTCATTAGTTGACCGGCGGCAAAAGCTCATAATAAACGATGTCCTTCCAATCCCACTGTGGGATATTTCGCACATTCTTGTCGTAGATGATCCACTTTTCCTCACCAGTGATCAATGTTTTCACAAGTGATTCGGTTTCATTACGTGTTAGTAGAAAATCGCAAATGAGTACACGATTTATTAGGTTTCTTTCAGCGAGCTCGTCTGGTACCCAAATACCGAGCTTTTTTGTATAGCCAGATTTTTCAAATGGGTCCAAACTGTTTTGTGATCATTCTCTTATCAATTCTCAATTCTATGGCTATTTCGTAACTACTAATATGCCGATCTTGTTCCATTTTTCAAAATAGCATTGACTTTATCACTTATTCGTATATATATATATATATATAACACTACTTATTCGTATGAGGGAAAATGCGAACACTGGACCAAAGTGATGGAGAAAACAATGAAAATTGTTATGGACGAATATGAAAGACACATTCTTTTGGGATGCGTTACAGAAAATCACATGATAATTAATGTAAACGGCGATGATGACGATAGCTCAACTAAATGTGTTTTTAATCTATTGCAGTCTTTATGTAGCTTTATCTTTAGAAATTAGCATTACGCAATAAATATGAAAATCCTGATAAATTTATTGTAATTTTTTGTATTAAATCTAGATAGAATTGTAAACTATTGCCAACCCTAAAGAATCGATATCGATATCTCTTAAGAATTATAAATACTGTAGGTACTGGTTTTCCAGTTCAAATATTCCATATCCATAAACACGCCTGTCACCCAAAGGGGTAGGCAGAGACTACAGATTTCCATTTGGCACGATCCTGACACACCTCTCTCGCCTCCTTCACATCCATACACCTACGCATACATGCTCGTCGGTTAAGGGTACTCCTAATTTGGCCCGTTTCCAATAATTCGCCAATTTGGTCGATAAATTTTCGCCTAGGACGTCCCTTTCCGACTCTGCCATTCACTTCTGCAACATAAATTTTCTTTGTCACTCTTTCCTCATTCATTCTTTCCACATGACCAAACCACCGAAGCATTCCTTTCTTAATCCTGGTCACAACATCATCTTGCAAACCACACTCTTCTCTTATTACACAATTTCTTACCCTGTCATTCAGATTCAGCCCTAACATACTCCTTAACGACCGCATTTCTACTGCGTTTATTCTACTCTCGTGCTTCTTCTGCCACACCCAACTTTCACTACCATACGTTAAAGTAGGGACCAACACAGCGTTGTGAATTGCCATACGTGCCTTTTTCGACACATTTTGACTCTTCACAATAGAGTGCAAGGCCCCATTTACTCTATTTCCCGCATTCACTCGTCGTTCTATATCCTTATCATATCTCCATCCCTGCTAAATACGCAGCCCAAATATACAAACTCATCTACTTGCTCGATCAACTCCCCTTCTATTCTTATTTCACAAATCGTTTTACTTTCTTCTCTTTCAAAAACCATAACCTTCGTCTTACTTGCGTTCACTTTCATACCCCTTTCTTTTAATGATCCGTTCATTAATGTAACCATCATTTGCAACTCGGCCGCCGACGACGCAAGAATGACTTGATCATCGGCGTACAAAAGGCATTTGACGGTTAACTCACCCATTCTTAATCCGCATTCTTCAACTTTCAAATTTTGCAAACAACTGTCCATAAATAAGGTTGAACAGCCACGGGGAAGCCACGCAGCCCTGTCTGACACCTTTATGGATGTCAAACCAGTCCGAGTAGACCCCGTTGATCCTAACACAAGCACTAGAGTCCCTATAAAGAGACTCCAGTGCCTGTATCAAGCCAGCGCTCAACCCAAATGAGTTCAGTGTTTGCCATAGCAAATCCCTATCCACTCTGTCATAGGCCTTTTCCAAGTCCATGAACGCACAAAAAACCTTTTGGTTTTTGGCCAGAAACTTCTCCGCGATCATGCGCTTGGAAAAGACTTGATCTGTACATCCCATTCCCTTTCTAAATCCCGCTTGCACATCCCAAATTTTTCCATCAGTTTCTTTCATGACCCTTTCAATCAGTACCTTAGCGTACAGTTTTCCCACAATGCTAAGAAGGCTGATGCCACGGTAGTTTTTACAGTCCTGCTGCGACCCTTTTCCTTTATATACTGGGACTATCACGGCTTTGCACCAGTCTACCGGTACCCGCTTCAGTTCCCAGCATAAATTAAACAAGGTGTGCAGCAGGCCTGCCACCACTTCCTCTCCAGCCCTTAGCATTTCGAGTGAAACTCTATCATATCCGGGCGCCTTACCTGCTTTCATGCTTTTCATTGCTTTCATTATTTCATCTATACTTATCTCGCTACCTCTTTCCTCTTCTTTCGGAGTTTCTACTTCAATTAGTTCATACGTTGTCTCCTCACTCATAAACACGCTTTCAAAATATTCCTTCCATCTCTTTAAACTCAAAACTTCATCATTCAGATTATAGCCATTCTCGTCTCTTATAGCATTCATCATAGGCTGTTTTGAATGTCCCCTGGCAGTTCTTACCAGTTTCCAGAACATTTTAATATTTGCCTGGAAGTTATCCGATATTCTTCTATCATTCTTATCCGTTCTTTCTTGCTTTTTTCTTCAACTACTTCTTTTACTCTCTTATTAAGATGTCTAAAGACCGCCTTTTTTCTTTCAATATCGTCATTCGTACCGCTAGAATTACCAGCCTTTGTTGCTAGTAAATCTAGCTATGCTCTCTTCTTTGCTTCAACTTCCATACGTACCTCATCATCCCACCATAACGTATTATTTTTCCTTTCATTCTTCCTCTTACTAACATCACATACTTCGGTAGCTGCATGCACTAAACCTTTCTTTACATTTTGCCATACATTCTCCAAGTCTAACTCCTTCATACATAATTCATCCAAACCACTTATATTTTCTTTCAGTCTACATTTGAACTTGTTTCTCTCACCTGTTCTAATACGCTGTAACGCAGTGGTAGACACAGATGACCGATGGCGCCAACGCCTGAATAGACCATTAATTCGGCATAAAACCAAATAATGATCCGTTCCTACGTTAGAACCCCGGTAAACCCTTGTATCCACCACTGCGCCCCTCAATCTTTCATCCACAATTATGAAATCTATCATGCTTCTATCGTCACCTCTTTCCCAAGTATACATGTGAATCCTCTTGTGGCGAAAGAAAGTGTTTCTTTCTTCACAAAAAGATTCTTTTCCATACATACGGTGAGGAGGCTTTCACCATTCTCATTTATACTTTCATCACCAAACGTTCCCAATATCCTTTCATAACCAAGCCTCCTCACCCCAAACCCTTCCATTAAAATCTCCTAGCATAATAATATTTTCATTTCCCTTACACTTCATTAACACCATCCTTACCATTTCCCAAAACTGTAAGGTGGTCTCGGATGGTAAGTGGGCTTAGACATGTCTGGGGCGTACACCCCTAACACGCGAACAACTTCTTTAAGCCCACTTTCATTCGTATCCATAGCAGTCTTGGGCTTACACATTCATACTCTTTCACACATTGGCCCATTCTTTCTGAAAGGATGATACCTACTCCCTGGCATGCCCGCTCGATCTCGTCTACACCAGACCAGTATGCGGTATACATGCCATGTGTAGTGACATCCTTCCCCTTCCTTTTCGTCTCATTTACGCATAACACATCTATTCCTCTATCGTACATAATATCGCATACTTCATCCATTTTATCATTCATTGCCCCACATACATTCAACGTAGCCAGACGGGCCTCTGCAATCCACTTTTCGCCTCTCCGGGAGACAGAACGTGACGGGTGGCGAACCTCGTCGCCGGTTTTCCTCCCGGAGATTCTTCGCACCCCTGCCCCATTAAAGGGGCGCCGGGAACTCGGGGCCATTTCCTTTATTTGGTTAGTCATGGTGCGAAATATGGGGTAGTATATTTTACGCCGCTACCACGGCGTGGAGCCGAGTCTGTGCTAGGGTACCCGGGGGACTCGTGTAGGGTGGGCCTAGGAACAGGTGGTCAAAGCCTACGGACGCGAGCGACTTATCCCCCCGAGCGACTTATCCCCCAAAAGTTCAAATATTCATTCCAATAAATGTGACAGCTATCACAAGGTTTCGGGCTGTAAAACTTTGCCTTCGGTCTACGGCGAAGGTGCCTAGCCGCACTGCGAGTTTAAATGTTTATCTATAGCTTATCGTGATAAATATATGCTAACAAAATGCACGCTGCGGTCGCTCTATATTATATAGAACCGAATTTTTTTCGTCGTTTTCGGCAACGGGGGACAGTTTTAAACGGCCTGCATTATTCTTTCAAAATGTCTCATTAAATTATTTGTTCGCTGTCAACCTCCCAATGAAGACATTCGATAGTGTTCCATCTAACTCTCAAGGTCTTCAGAGCATCTTCTAATTCCTCAAGGTCTTCAGAGCATCTTCTAATTCCCCAAGGTCTTCAGAGCATCTTCTAATTCCCATTTATCGGTTAACAAATCCAAGTCAGTGTTAGCTAACTTTCGCTTAAAAGCTCTAAAGTTGCTACTTTGTTTATGCAATATCTAATCCAGCTTGCTGTTAATATTGCACTCAGAAGATCCACCAGTCTGCTAATGTTGAAGTCTGGGTCAGCTAGTTGTATATTGTTCAAGAATGACCACGAAAATTTAGCAAACTATTCTTCTCATTACTTCAAAAAATTTTCACTATCGTAAATACGTTGTAAATCCTAACTTCATTTTCTACACGATATCTGTAGGCTACCTGAAGTGTGGCAGCAGAAGCAAAGTTCATAATGATAAAACGCTTTGAATGCGAGAGTTTTTCGACAGCGAAGCGATGTGCCTACGACTTCCCATGAAGTGACCAAGTATTCACGAATATGTGTATACTTGGTGAAGTATAGTGTGTTGGTTGGATGCACAGTGAGCGCGGGCCCGCCGGAGCCGAGCCGCTGCCCGCGCGAGAACGGCTCGCAGGTGCGCACCGCGCCCGCACCGCTGCGCTCCAACGAGACCGTCACCTCGGATCGCGCACATCAGGTACCGATTTGTGGTTATGTTACTGTCTGTAAAGTCTGTCTATATAGGTATTGATTGATACATGAAGGGACAACTTTGTTCTCCTTTTTTGAGCATATTACCCACAAAAACGTGTGAGATTGGGCGTAGTTAAAGTTTTTATGGAGAAAAAGCGCAGAAAGCTAAAATTTATATATAATATGTATTACAAATAAATACATAAAATGAAATTAAATAATATATTGTTTACGTTTATACTAATGATGTCTTATGGGACATAATAGTATCATGTTATCTGAATAAATACATATTATGTTATTACTATAAAGCTAACGTCAGACACTTCATAGTCGGTGATCAAACAGTCGCACAGAGTAGATATTGTCGCCAAAAATATTGCCAACAAATTATTACTGACAGATAGTCTGAAAACGCTATGAATTTTGTGTGATTTTAAATGTTTTTTTTTCAATAGTTCGAAAGTTAACAGTCGATTCAGCTTGCTTACTATACCAACTAAAAAATGTAATGATTACGCTAGAATTTCTCTGCCATCACTAGGCGGCCACTAGTACCTATATATAAATCGTGTAATGTCAAAATATCCACTATACCATACCGTTCCGTGGGTATCGTAAGAGGCGACTGAGAGAAATTGAAACATTTTTGTAACATCGCTACAAAGCAATCTATGGCGGAAGTATGTTCAGCAGTGGACTTATAGACTGTAACAGATGAATGTATGCGTGGATACAAGCTGGCCTTATACGCGCCGAAGAATGAAACTAACCTAAGTGGTTCCATTTACTTAGGTTGGTTTCATTCTTCGGCGTGTAACCAATTATAAACATTTTTATTTGTTTCTGTGCCATATCATAACAAGGTGCACTCGTAATGCGGTATTGGCAATTGACTGGAGACGATTTAAAATATTTTTATTTTCCAATGTATTTCTGATTATTTTTGACGAAATAATTTTTAATTTGAAAACAAAATACCTCATTGTGACGATTCTCATAAAACACACAGCACAGATAGAAGAAGAAGCTGTACGTGGATAGGAATCTTTAAGACATACCTGGCAACACTGGATCCAGTGTTGCCAGGTATGTCTTACTTTTTACTTTTCTCTGTAATATCAGAGGGCCGCTGTCTGCGACATCCGCAGCTGGCGCTGACTTTTGCTTTAGTTAATTTCATCGTTAAATTTTTCTCAAACTGTTGTGAAATTGTGTCTTATATTATAAACATTCTAAAAGTGTATAAAAACTAAAATATAATAGCTAACTATAAGGACATTTTTCGTAAATTGTCAGTGTAAACTACTAAAATGAGCGATCCTAATGCAAAAAACGAGACTGTGGCGTCAGGTGGCGAAAAAAGATCTTGTCAAAGCGACACTTCTTCATCATCTTCCTCAGAGGAAGAGACGGTGCCACTGCCTAACAAACGCCCAAGAGTATCTCGCGGAGAGAAATTTGTTTCCCCCAATTTTGAACCACATGTAGAGTTTCTAATGACATAGCTAAGTTGCATTTCCAACTACTTAATGCAACTATCGCAACCCCTTTTTGGTCCCACCTGCATCTAGATAATGTGTTGATGTGTGTGAATTTACCACAAAAATATTAAATATTAGTACGTCTTAATGTTTTACTAATGTTCAACTATCTAGCTTGGCAGAGAGTACGATGTAAGAATATCCTAAACTTAGTTTCTGTATCTTCAGGGTTCACAGAACTTAAAATAAATAGTGAACTTTGTCATCTTAATAAAGGAAAAAGCTATTTAGCATCAACTGAATGAGTTGTAGCCGGCCTCTCAAATGCTGTGTTAGAACAAGTACTAACACCCTTTTCGATAGTTTCTGAACTTTTTGGGCTATGTCCTATTAACAAAAACTCAGACCACAAAGTTTATGTGGAAGAGGGACGGAATGTATTGAAATTCGTCAAAATCGACTTTTAAATGAAGTTTCTAATGTAAATTTAAAAACGAGTTTAAAAAATGTGCCACCTAATGAAGAATTTTTACTGAGCTTTAATCAGAAAGGTACACAAATGTAGCTTAACACCACATCCAAATTGTGCAAACCATATTTTTTATCGAGGTCAACTCAACATTGTTGAAGACTCCAGAGGTTTTTGAATCAGTTCTGATTAACACGATCATGTCTAAAAAAGAGTGATTCCAATGGAAGCTCTCGGAGAGATTCAATGGTGGCTATCAGCTCAGAAAAACAACTTAACACAAAAAAATAATCACCCATTTCCTGACAAAAGACGTATCGGGTGCGAGCTTAGGTGCACAGATAAATGGGACAAACCTATCAGAAAGATGGAAAAAGATCAGAGGCTGTGGCATTCCAATATAAAGAAAAGTGTATGTTGCAATAAGATGTCACAAAGACCACTTAAGGGATGCACACATATTAGTCCAGACAGACAATCAGACATTAGTAACATATCTGAGAAAGGAAGACGATACAAAATCCCTTTTGCTACTAAATCTCACAACCAAACTTCTGCTCTTAAGCGACCAGGTGAAGGTAACACCGTCGGCCTGTTACCTCCCGGAGAGGTTCAACAATATTGCAGACCGCTTGTCAAGAGGCACGTTCACGTCCAGAACGGCACCTTCTCCCCTAAGCCACAAAGTCAATATTCAAAAAGTGGGGAAGAGCAAAAATTAACTTGTTCGCTTCATCCCAAACGGCAGTTGTCTCAAAGTACGTAAGCTTATATTCAAAAGATGGTTCAGCAAAGTTTTGCAAAGCCTTCAACATTAATGGGCAATACCAACTGACATGGGTCTTCCCACCACCCAATCTGTTCCCACAGACACTGCATCACCTGAACTATGCAAAAGTAAAATATATCCTGATAGCCCCGACCTGGATACGATGATTTTGGAAAGCAGGCAACCGGACCATAGCGCTGGAAGATCCAATACAGATAAGCTACCTTCGGAAGGTTTTAATAGATCAGTCCACGGGGACCCATACACCTCAAGTCAAGTAGGCCTACAGGCATGGTTAATTGGGGGTGGATATGTATAAAAAATGACCGGCAAGATGATGAGAAACAATTAGAAAGCAGCCGGACACGATCAACATAAGCAAGCTATGCTCCAGTTATTAAGCGGTGGATTTTATGGTGTAAAAATAATAATGTCAACCATAAAACTCCAAAGGAACAAAACATTGCCAAATTTTTTGCAAATTTATTTCTACAAGATAATTTTTATTTTGTTGTTTATTTGTTAAAAAAATAGATTTAGAATTACAAAGACAACTGAGCATTTAGTAAGTCCAGTAAAATATTTTATAAAGTATAGGTTGGGCTTGTTTATTTCACATAGCGTTTGTAGCTTATATCACCAGCAGGTAACAGACAAGTCTTCACCTATCTGTACTCTGTGTCTTATAAGAATCGGTAAAATATGAATGTTTTGCATTCCATCAAAACATGTATTGTGCTTTGAATAAGACTACACAGCACAGCAGCAAGGCTCTTGCTGGTGAAGACACTGTGAAGTAAACAAAGGTCAGCGCCAGCTCCGGATGTCGCAGACAGCGCTCTCTGGTGATATTACTAAGAAAAGTAAGATCCGGTGTTGCCAGGTATGTCTTAAAGATTCCTCCACGTCCACGAACAGCTTCTTCACCTATCATTGCTGTGTGTATTATTCAAAGCACACGTTTTGTTGGAATGCAAAATATTCATATTAATTGTCGCCATGACAGTAGACAAGACGCTCTCGCACACATCCAATATTGAAAGCTCCCATTGCGACGGCTTTCGCGCCGGTATAACGTGAAACTAGACTGCCCACACGCTATAATACGAGTAGTGCAAGCGATTGTATTAGCTTCACACGAATTCCTTTATAGTGTTCTTTTAACCTGTGTTGACATGACGTTGGCGTTCCTCATGGTTTTGTTTTTATTATGCTGTTATTAATTAATAATAATGTAATATTTACTATTTATATTTATATTATTAATATTTCATTTTAATTTTGACATAGGAACGACACTATTATTTTGTAACATCTTATTGAACTATGTAATAGTGACCTAGTTTTACGTTTATTGTATGATAAGCCACGGCACCCTGTACACGTCTTACTGCCGAGCACAAGCCTCTATATTCAATCAAAGCTAAGAAATACAATTTGATAGCTGTCAGACACATTGCATTAGGCATGCCAACCAAAAAATCAGGACGTAAAATATTCGATTCTTAAGAAAAATCGATATCGATTTGTTTAGAGTTGGTAATCATTTACAGTTTTGTTTCGATTAATACCAGAATAAATTAGAAACGGATAATTTAAAATACAGAATTTCTCAGTTTCTACGTATTTAGGTATTTTTACTGCTTATATCTATCGTAGAAGCGAATTTAAAATTGAAACTAGATTAAATATAAATTTATTCAATCACTTTCACTACAACTAGTTAAGCTGTCGTTGTGTAGATTAAACTGGATTTTCAATAATGGAGTCAAAATAAATGTCCCTTCCAAAGTCATCCATAATAATTTTCCTTGTTTTCTAATATATTATAAATGTAATATATAATAAATAATTAAAAATGTAAATACATTTCTAATGTCTTAGCTCTGCTTTCAATAATTTCATGTCCGCTCCAACTCCTTTGTGTTGCAGTCGTATTACTAAATCTGCTTTTTTATTCGCTTGGATTGGCGCTTTGTCAATTTTGACAAAATGGTACGGCGCGTTGTCCATTATTATGATGCTATTCGCAAGAATATATGGTAAAAGAGTTTTAAACTACTGTTTGAATGTTTCAGCATCTATTTCATCCCATACCAATCCTCATGATATTCTCTTGTACTCTTTGATTGGAAGGCTAATAAACAATTTTCTTCAAATCCTTCTACGTCAAATTATGAGGCGATCACCTTATCCCACGGGCACCTTGTCACTGGTAATTCCCCCCCCCCCTCCCAACGTTTTGTAACTCACATTCAAAATATTTTTGTAATTTTAACACTAGTGCTCGAGCCTGACTGTTTAAGGTGCGACTTTCACAACTACATCCTCTTTTCGACATTATGATCGATTGTTTAATCAGAATCCAGTATATAACTTGCCAAGGTCAACGAATATAGAAAAACCAGTCTAAAAAGTTATAACCGTGCCACAAAATAAGAAGACACAAAATCAGAAAAACACAATGTCATAAAAGTACGTACAGTATGCTTTCGAAATGGCGATTGGAATTACATAGTATTTTTTCATGTATGAGCTTTTTGTGCCTACATAAATTTACGCTGACATAGTAGGAAATTACAAAAAAAAAACGTATTTTTTATTCATGATTCTTATAGTTTAATATGAAATATGTATGAAAATAAGAACTGTTTTAGTTTGAGCTTGCAACAATTTTTTCACATGAGTATGGAGTTGATTTTGTACGCTATAAAAGTGTAAGCAACTTAAGAATAACGGATAGAACAATTATTAGAATCTCCCAGGTATTGAAATTTGGTTTTCAGACACTCAAGAGCACATGGATCTTTCAGAATTTTGAAAAGGGTGCAGATTATCCTAACATATCTGCGCTGACGGATAGGCAGCGAATTTAGCTGATTTCGAAAAGAAGATAGATGGTCATATTTACGAAGACCATAAATGTATCTGATGCAGTTGTTAAGCAGTCGATCCAATGTATTGAGATGATGTTGAAACAGGTCTGCAACACACATCGACATAGTCAATAATCGATATAATAAGTGACTGGACAAGTTAAATCTTAATATCGGTGGGAAGGAAGTTTTTTAAACTATATAGAGATCGCAAAGTTCCTGTAGTCTTCCGACTCACCTCCTGTATATGTTTCTTCTATATTAAGCAACCATCAACATTGAGCCAAGGTTCTTTACATGGGCAGAGAATGGTATGACATTATTGTTGAACTTAATTGATGGTAGGATGGGAATATGTAGTTTAGATAATAATCTTGGGCTACCTAAGATTATCGATTGGCATTTAGATGGGTTCACGCTTATGCCACTGTGGACCACTTGGAGATGTATTTAAAATCATCGTTTAATAATAAGATAACATTAAAGATATTTGAAGGCTTCACTTGCGCATATAAATGTGTATAATCGCCATACATATGGTAAAATTACTTGCGATTTATTGTGATGAGATTAATAAAAATAGAAAACAGAAGAGGAGGGATAATACCGCCGTGAGGGACGCCAGTAGACGTCCAGTACGCACGGCCTGTTGGCGCCCTCCAAGACATGATGAGAACCATTTCTGAACAGAAGATGAGATATGCAAATAAGAAAGAAGTTTACAAGACATCATGTTCAACATGATTAAATACATTAGAAAACGACTGATAAAGGGAAAGAATATTCTTTGAGAAAACAAAAGAAGAAATCTGTTAACGGGCAACAGCTTCAAGTACTAGATTGAAAATTCAGGATAGAAATTAGTCGGATATTAGATATAGCACTGCAATTGGTGGATTTAGAAATAGGAATAATAAAGGCTTTACACCATAGAGTTGGGATACCACCGTCACCGTCAGCGGATGGAACAGGAGGACGCTTAAGTCGAACGAGCACGCGTAGGAGCATGTTCATTATACGGTTCTAATGTGTTGTGGTAAAATAAGTCGACTTTTTTCAATTAACTGTGGTAGCAGCGTATACAGACCAATTAATAGCATCCACATCACATTTAAGCTTGTTTATATCTAGTCTAGATGACAAGGAAAGCAGGTCATGGCGTGAAAATCCAGAAGCAGGGAATTGTCTATAATTAACGACGTGTTCAATGGAGGAGACGATCAATAAGGTCGATCCAGGTGTCAGCAGAGTGAAAGTTGTGATGTGTTGCATTTAGAGGCACAATATTGAAATTATGCGACATAATTCGTGGTCGACCTCAGTTTGCAAGATTTTAGAAAAACCCCTAATAGGTCATTGTTTCCCATGATAATGTGATGTGTGTAGGTAGAACTGAAAGCCAACAAATTTTCTTCCAAATCGGAGAAGTAGACAGTAGACAACTCCAAGAAATGCTTTAACGCTCTGGAAATGAACTTCGATATTCTGTTGAACCGGAATATAGGGAAGAAAATGTGTTTAATATTTTATAAGGTAAATCACTACGCAGATAGTTAGCGACACCTCCGCCTCTTTTTATCAGTGCGGTCGTTACGGAGTAAAATGTAACCTGGAAGACTATAGGGCGTGGAAGAGAGTTCTGGCTTAAGCCAGCTTACCGATATGAGTATAGCGTGAACTGCACTAGAAGATTTTTATACGTGGTAGAGCCATGCTGCAGTTATACTAGAAGTATAACTGCAGCATGGCTCTCCACGCTCTCACATAATACCAGCGTAAAATGGTAGCTTAATGCTGCTGTGTTTCGTATGGTGAGTGTAGAGAACCGGAGACCCTTTTTACTGGAAACGAGGCATTCCATCTTAGTCCTCACGGGTGACAACGCATCTGTATTTTGATTCGTTATCGAGGTACGTGTAAGTATCTATGGGCCACAGTAACCACTTACAAAGATGGACTGTGTGCTCGTTTGTGTACCCTATCCTATAAAAAAAATGTCCAGGAGCTCCATACGATGTTGAGCAATTCTATGTGCATTTTAAATCACAACAACGTGAAGCAAAAAAAGTTGACTCTAATATTTTTCTTTATATTTTGCTTGTTTTGAAAGATTCGAACTTAAATAAGTGATATAGAACTGTACGTGTTGTAATGAAATTATTATATTACTTCAAATTTATTGATGTTTATGTAAAAGGTTATTTAAATTTATATTGTGTGAGTACGCTTGTACAAAGTTATTGCGGAATGATAAATGTGAAACGTTAAAAGGTATTTCTTAGATTTGGTTGAGTAGTCATATTATTGTTCGCCTTCGTGGCCAAGTATATATCTGCGAAGGTCAGAAGAGAAATGGCGGCGGTGATAATTGAAACTACAAATATACTACTTTTACACTAAAGATGACAACGGTTGGGACACAAAAGCAGAATCAGATGAACATTTTTTTATAGGAGAGGGGGCAAATGAGCATACGGCTCACATGATGGTAAGTGACTCGCTGCCCATGAACAACTGCAACAACACCAGGAGAATTGCTGGTGCGTTGCCGGCCGTTTAGAAAGAAGTAAGCTCATTTCTTGAAGGTCCCTAAGTCGTATCGGTCCGGAACCGTACTTCGATTGCTAAGACATAATATTTACCTGCTTTGTCCCGTAACCCAAAAATCTAGTACGTTCTCAACCCCCGAGTGCTTTAGACTGATGAACTTCAGGGAATATATAAGTGCAAGATGACTTCGTTCTACGCATCTGTAGCCTTTTTCCGTGAAGTCTGTTGCAGGAGTTTTTGGATAGCAGTAGCCAAATAAAATTCAGCTGGACTCTTAGCTCGTTAGTCACTTTATGAAATAGTATATAATAGTTTTTTGCATATTGTCCGCACGTAGGAGTGTGAGATTTTGTATAATTAAGGGTTATGATATGGAGAAGTGCAGAATGCTAAAATTTATATATGATATGTGTTACAAATAAGTTTATTTAAATAAACATTTATTTTTTACGTTTATATATATCTATCGTTTTTGTTTATGGTTAAACTGTCGCACATAGTACAGATTGTCGCCAAAGAATTTAAAAATGTTGCCAACAAAATAATGACTTCGACAGATAATATGTTTAGTGTATGTCAAATTTTCAAGGCAAAAAGCGTTCATTATATATTTTGTATATAAGCTATTTTAGTTTCATGTATGAATGTGTAGTTGAAAGCATAAACAAAATATATGTATATTGACACTTGAAAGTGAAATGCAGCATCTTTAATATACAAACTTAAAACTTAATGAATTGCTGTCAATTTTCGACCACTAACCGACAACTAGTTATAACAAAAATGTGTTTGACTGTTCAGCTGATAATGCGCGAGGTGCAACAGAAGCCCAGCTGAAAGCAGCCGTGTGACGGTGACGGCGGCGGCGAGGCGGCCGCCGGCCCGTCCGAGGCCGAGCCGCACGCGCTACACACCGTCCAGACGTTCATCATGCTCGAGCAGCGCCGCCGCCCCGACTTCTCCATTGACTCCATCCTCAAGTTCGACCACTAGGCTCCGATGCCCACCAAAAAGCGACTGCCCGATGTCGCGCCACACTACACACTGTCACACTGCACTCCGACTGCCTGCGTTTTTGAAATACTGCACCAATATTTGAAACAATTTTTGTATGAGAGATAATGTGACATCTCTGAAAGCGATGCATGCCTTAATTCCGAAATGTATTTAATGCGTCACTCTTGTCGCAACTCGATTACTACTATACACAATATAAAAACGTCATCATCGTAGTACACTGTTGTACCGCGAAACGTTATAGTATTCCAAACGCCGTCCGCTATTGTGCAGAGCGTAGTTAGTGCAGTGTATTCGTGTTTGCTCACTAAAATATATACTCGTTCATTTTAAATTGTATAAAGAGTAGGTATAAACTATCATGTATTCAATGAATTGGTGCATTGCATTGCGCGATATACGCGCGACGCCGATACGTAAGAGAAGCACGAACGTATATAGATTAACCAAATGTACTCGATGTCTTTCAATAGATGCGTTCGTTTTTATAAACATCAATACATAAAATACGGGGCAAAAATCCAAAGTTTATTTGTACTAAAAATAATCGCCAAAGTTTACTTATTGGCATTAAACAATATGTTCTATTTACGGTTATGGCAAGATTATACTTGCTTTTAAACGCCAAGACTATCACATATAGTCAGATCACAATGATAGGCTTATAACTTCGTCCTTATTATTATATGTTGTGCGTTTCTACAATTACTAATCATTTGTAATGTTCACTCGAAACTATCACAAACGCGGATTGTAAAATTTACTGTTTAAGTAACTGTTTGTATTTCTTGCATTCAGCTTATGATTGTTTCACTTATAAACGTGATGTGAGTGAATTTTCTTCATAAAATGAAAATATGCATGTGAGTTTGTGTTAGACTTAATATTTATAAAAAGCTATTTCATATATAGCTAATGAGGGTAAAATAAAATATCTTTTTTAGGTCTAGTGATCCCAATGATTCGTCGTTTATGACATATTAGAACTCGATTAGGCGTAAGTTTTAAAACGATGCAAAGGGTTCTGCATTACGTTCGTATGTAGTTAACGTTTGTAAATATGTGTTTTTCTATGTTTCTTCGATGTAAGACTGAGCCAATTTAATCAGCTATTAAGTAATGGCTATTTCCAACTTAGACACTGAAACATGCGCTCTCACAATGCAACACATGGACGTACACTCATACGTATGCACACTCATACACACGCACGCGCGCACACAAACACACACTCACATATGTAGATCAGTAAAAAGCATTTAATAGTTTTAATTGCGATTGTGGAAATACTTTTCATTGAATATTTTATTCTGAAATAAAACTATTTTTGACGAATCAGCTGGAGCAAAATAATATTGATCTAAATTTAATTTTTAGACAGCTTTTATGGCTTCAAAATAAAACGTATTTTCACTTAGTATAGAAAGTAACTTGCATAGTTATGAACAGATGCTAAACATGTTACATTTTTACCTATGTTACGTATCGTATATTGCCGGTTCGTATTATTTATAGTTTTATCTCTATGCTCTTATAATATACCGTAATTTTTACATTTTCAATAAAATTAAACGTGTTATTTATTTTGTTTTGTAGTCTCAGATGATTAGTTTTATCTGCGATAATATCAGTATGTATGATCGAATATGTTTTAAACAAATATTTTATTATGTCTTTATTAAGAGACGTGGTACACATATATTAAATTTTTAAGCAATGATAAACTTCATAAGGTGTTTTAAAATGTAGTTATTTTAAATCTCATAATTAGTATATTCTTTCGTCTCAGTTTTAAAAAATATTATTTTAGATATATAATTTTTAGACAGCTTTTTTGGCTTCAAAACAAAACGTATTTTCACTTAGTGTAGAAAGTAACTCGCATAGTTATGAACAGATGCTAAACATGTTACATTTTTACCTATTTTACGTATCGTATATTGCCGGTTCGTATTATTTATAGTTTTATCTCTATAATATTATGTAATTTTTACATTTTCAATAAAATTAAACGTCTTATTTATTTTGTTTTGTAGTCTCAGATGATTAGTTTTATCTGCGTGTCTGTATGATCGAATATGTTTTAAACAAACATTTTTTATTATGTCTGTTAAGAGACGTTTGGTACACATATATTAAATTTTTAAGTAATGATAAAACTTCATAAGGTGTTTTAAAATGTAGTATATTTTAAATCTCATAATTGGTATATTCTTTCGTCTGTTTTAAAAAGATAATTTTTAAATTATCAACCATGTTTTATAATTATAAATCGATATAACTGTTTCGTGAACTTTTAAACACAATATAGATATGTAATAACAAATTTATTTGCTCAATTTAAATATAATGTAAAAACACAGACTAAATTTATCTTTTGACTTGCACTCATCCGAATGATACTTTAGTCATTGTTACAACTCTAAGTGGAGTTGTGAAATTGTATCAGTATTGTAAACACTTGATATGAAATTTTATTTTATAATATAGCTTACCTTGGATTAAGCTTAGATAAAAATTGCATTATTTGGGAATATTGTAAACTTCATTTTTGAAGTTATTTTGGTCTATTGTAATCAACGAACTTTAAAAACTATGCAAGCGTAACTCTGAACAAAATTCACGAAAAATATGTCCCCAAATGTCACTACATAGACAATTTCTCTTATGTATTTAAATGAAAGAACAACACATACCAATAAGCCGATTATCTACGGTCGTGAAACGCGCCGCATTCGCTGTAGCACTTATTTGAGGAAAATAAAAGTACCGTATATAATTAGTTATTATAAGAAACTTGTATAGAAAAGTTACGTGTTTTGGTCAATAGAATTGCCGGTGCTAAGTACGTTTTTATCATTCTTTTTTTTTCATCAATATCTATATTACTTCACTTCACTTCAGTTTAAATCTTCGCATTATATTCTCCAGTCCTACATGTTCCATAGTATCAACCCCAAATTTCAAAAATTAGTCTACCACTCTTTACTTACTGAATAACTCCACTAGATTCAACTCTATGCTATTAAAAAAACAAAAGAATAGTAAACAATATTATATTCGTAGAATACTATAATACACAATAGAATGGCTGTCAACTTTATTTTGTACGAGGTTTAGCGTCGCCAAAACCGATTCGCTGTGTTGACAGACTGAATAAATTTACACATTTTAGACTTTTGACTAATGTTCAAGATCGTCATTTAAAAAAATCGTTTAAATTTTAATACATATTTATTTGTAAATCGGGTGCAATTTGGCATTTATCTAAATAATTTGCGTGCGAAATTTGGAAACGATTGTAACGTCAAAACCACATCTTGTATCGACATTTATACGTGGGAATCAAAGACCTATATAACCACTTGACTGCGCATACAATGCCCCGACGCTGGAAAACTATTAGTATTTTTTCGCCTATGCATAGGCTATGGAACTATTAACCATTTTAGTATTGTCCAAGTGTTAGACCTGTATGCACTCTAAATTAATACAAATTTTTATAACTTTTATGCAGTTATAATGCATCAATGCAATGCTTTCATGCGCTGTGAAGTGGTGAGGGAAACATTCCAGGACAGATGTTCAAAAATAATGGAGTAAATTTTCATTGCTAAGTAAAAAATACGAAAACGGGTTCAAAAGGGGGTGGGTTTTTTTTTTTTTTTTTTTTTTTTTTTTTTTTTTATTTGTTCTTGTTTGTTTTTTAGTTGTGTAGTTATTAAAAATAAAATAAATATTAAAAATTTTTTATTAACACTATTTAAAAAAACCTTTTTTCTTCTTTTTAAGGGGGGGGGTTAAATCATTTTTTTTTTTGTTTTTGTATCCAAAAAAAAAAGAAAAAAAAGAGAACAATTCACCAAAGTAATAAATAATGTCGTGAGTCTCGATCTTTGATTGGGTATTATTAATTCCCGGATATTCATTTTCATCAATTTGAAATAGAATCAACAAGTCATTTAATTGAATTAGCAAGATGCATAATTTACAAATATGTATGCTGTGCATGATGCTTGTTTATATTTTATTACAAAGACTATTCAGAACCCTTAAACTTTAATTCGAAATCATTTTAAAAAATCAATAATAATATAATAAATACATGTTTTCGTTGTAACCGATTGATTTTGATTAAATATTATTCCTATGATTTTAATTGAGTATTTTTCATAATGATAAAATCCATTTTATCGATATCGAATATTTTCCTTTATTAAGAAGAGCAACCCTAACGATAGCCATAATAACGCGATTGACCATTTGCAGCCGTGCGTTCTTCCTCGTGCCCCGGCCCGCAGTAGTGAGTCATGTGCTTAGAAGAAATCTGCCTATACGCTCTCTAGTGGTTATATTCTCTATGGTGTGAATTGACGTGTTAGTGGCTACACGGGCTCCGCCCACTCCCCCGTTCTATTATGTATGTATTATAGTATTCTATGATTATATTCGTACACATTATACGTAGTAAAATAAATAATAATATTAATTACGTAGTGAAAACTGGTTGTGCCTACTACTTCCATAACATTACTTTTACTCAAATTGCTGTAAAAACAAAATAATTATATTTTAATATAATCAGTTATTTCGATTTATTTTTTACTAGGTTATTCCGCCTTCTAAACTACTCTACCATATAATATGAGGTCACTTTCGCTATATATTACGCGGTTTTTTTTTGTATTTTTACAGTTCAAAATTATTCATATGCATTAATCATAATACACGTGAATGTCAATCACAGAGCGCGCGGTTGACAAACTGGTGCGTTGATCGTAGATTTTAGCCACGCTCACTTGTTTGTCGTTTGCGTGGTG